TATTGAAACATTATAAAATACGTACTTTGTTATTTATACAGTGTGAGTCACTAACCGTGCGGTGTTCGATATGTCATTATTTACTATTAGAAATACAACAAAGAGTCAAAAACCAAAGCTGTACGGTTATTTAAGGACTATACTCTAAAATTATTTTTAACTATACAGTGTGTTCTGCTTTTAAGGTGTAACACACAACTTTTTTGAAATGAAACAACCTAAATACTATTTTGACATTTTCTCATTAGGCTTTTCCTATTTACTTTTGAAATTGCGATGCGATGTTGCCACGTTGTTCTAATTTTCGTGAAATTTTTTGGCAATAGAAGGTTCACAAAAAAATCGCATACAATTTTTTAATGTTTTCAAATATCGATATTTCAGTTTTTTCAAATAGAACACCTGTATTTTTTGGTGACGCTATCTTACTCTACTTTTTGTTCTCATTCTTCTAATATAGAGATAATAAAATAGAAAATTGCAGTAAGTATCAACCTTAAAAATAAAAAATACTTTAAAAAAAAGAAGAAAACAAAAATAAAATAAGGTGTGGAAATAAAATATAGTCTGTTGTGTTTGACAAAAGTGAAATATCGATATTTGAAAATTGCAATAATTAAAGATTTTTTTATACACACCCTGTATATGAAAATTCCATTTTAGTTATACCACAACCAAGCGCGTATTTTTATTTATTGCTCCACAAAATATTCTAATAATAACTATTGCGATTTTTTTTGTCAACTCCTCAAGAAAATTGGAATAACGTGTCAAGGTCTCTTCGTTATTTCAAAAATAAACGGTAGTTTTAAAGCCTAAGAAAAGGTCAATCAAAATATGTAAAAATACAAGGTCATCAAAATTGATTGAGAGAGTTGGTACCCCCTGTTTTTGTCGTGAAGTTTGTCAACCTTATGACAGATTTGTTTAAGGTTATATGGGAATGAATTCAGTGGCGTGACAAAAACTCCAAACTTCAAATCTGACAACTAATATTTTTACCAAAAAAAAAAAAAATCGAAAAAAGACGCCACTGAGTTTTGAAATTTGAAACTTGAAACTTCAAATCTGGCAGCTAATATTTTTATACAACTTAATAAACCAAATTATTCAAGTTCAGGTTTACCAACTCTCTCAATCAATTTTGATGACTCTGTATACGGGATGTTTCATTAAAAAAAAAACTAACACTCCGTACAGTTAAAAATAGTGTTAAAGTATAGTCCCCAAAGAAACGTACAATTTTGGCCTTTGACTTTTTCTTCTATTTCTAACAATTAATGAGATATCCATACCCTTAAAGGTGGAATTTTCAAAAAATGTTTCGTACTGTTTGCCTAGATCATAAAACAAATCAACTGTTATTCATTTAAAGTATTTCGACCAAATCAACCATAAACATTGTTATCTTTTCATCCTTAACTTTCATCCCCGATTTTACACCCTTATTAGAGAACGAATACTGAAAAATTATCAAATACGTTTTCATTATTTATATAATATTGTATAGCGACTATACAAAACTCACTTGACATACACCTTGTAAAACATTTATAACTTAAGCGGCTTAAGCCAAACCATCCTTATAAGTCAAACTGGCTATTGTATAACTTAACTCAGTTGACATATACCTAGTAAAGCTTTACAGCTCCATTATGGCAACAATGGACAGCAACAATTCTTGCGGTTCGGGTCCGTAAAGCTTACAATAGTTTGACTTATAGGGGTGCTTTGGCTTAAGCCGCTTAAGTCATAAAAGTTTTACAAGGTGTATGTCAAGTGAGTTTTATATATTTGTATACCGTTTCAAGCAAATAAAGTTCATCCGCTAATTCGGGGACGTTGCCACGTTATTCCAATTTTCTTGAACTTTTTTTGGCAATGTATGTTTTACAAATTCTGAATTTGTTGTGGTATCAATTCAATCAAATTTTAATATACATAGTGTTTATAAGAAAATCTAACACTTTACAATTTTCAAATATCGATATTTCTGTTTTTTCAAATAGAACAACGTGTATTTTATTACTGTATTTTACTCTATTTTTTTGTTCTCATTCTTCTAATATGGCGATGTGTCTCTTAATAAAGTAAAAAATTGCAACTTTAAATATAGGGAACACTTAACAAAAAAGGAAGAGAACAAAAATAAAATATGATGCGAAAATAAAATATGTACAGTGAGTACACAATAAGTATTTTTATTTGTTTCTTCACAAAATATTGTAATACAGATAAAATAATCCTATTGTGATTTTTTTTGTTAACCCCTCCATTTAAAAAAAAAACAAGAAAATTGGAATAACGTGTTAATGACTCATCGTTATTTAAAAAATAAACAATAGTTGTAAAGTCTGCGAAGACGCCAATCAAAATATGTAAAAATATATAGGATGTTTCATTAAAAAAAAACGAAGTTGTGTTTTACCCCTTAAAAACAGAACACTCTGTGTAGTTAAAAATAATTTTAAAGTTTAGTCCCCACAGAAAGGTACAATTTTGGCCTTAGACTTTTTTTTATTTCTAACAGTTAATAAGACACCAAGGAACGCGCACTTTCAAGCAAATAAAGTTTGTCCCCTGATCACACCCTTAGAGGAGGAATTTTCAAAAATGTATTCTTATTGTTCACTTAGGTGATATAAAACAAATTTAAAGTATTTCGACCAAATCAACCATAAACATTTTTCTCTTTTTACCCTTAACTGTTATCCCGGATTTTACACCTTTAGAGGATGAATATTGAAAAATTGTCAAATACGTGGTTCATTATTTACATACTATTGTAGAGTATTTTGTATATATTTGTACACCGTTTCAAGCAAAAAAGTTCATCCCCTAATTCCCACCCTTAGAGGCGGAATTTTCAAAAATCCTTTCTTATTCCTTACCTAGGCTGTAACAATTTTAAATAAATTTTTTGACAATGGAAGGGTTCACAAATAAAAAATCGCAATAGTGTTATTTTTAAAGTACATATGTCTTACAGTATCTTGTGGAAGGATAAATAAAGGTACGCGTTTTGTTGTGGTATCCATTAAATCAAATTTTAATATAGAGAGTGTTTATAAATTATCTGAAACTTTACAATTTTTTTTTTAAATATAACACCCTCTATTTTATTACTGTATTTTACTCTATTTTTTGTTCTCATACTTCTAATTTATCGGTGTGTCTCTTAACAAAATAAAAAAATCGCAGTAACCATCAACTTTAAATATAGAAATTAGGAGTACTTAATAAAAAGAATAAGAGAACAAAAAATAGAATAAGACGCATTAATAAAATATAGGGTGCCATGTTTGAAAAAATTGAAATATCGATTTTTGAAAATTGTAATAATTAAAGATTTTTATAAATACCCTGTACATGAAAATTTATTTCAGGTATATAAGTTATACCACAACAAAGCGCTTTTTTCGATTTTTTTGTAAACCCTTCCATTGCCAAAAAAAAATTCAAGAAAATTGGAAACACGTGGCAACGTTGCATTGTTATTTCAAAAATAAACTTCAGCTGTAAAGTCTGAGAAGAGGCCAATCAAAACATACAGGATGTTTCATTAAAAAAAAACAAAATTGTGTGTTACATCTTAAAAACAAAACACTCTGTATAGTTCAAATAATTTTAAGTATAGACCCCCACAGAACCGCACACTTTTGGCCGTAACTTTTTCTTCTATTTGTAAGTTCACCCCCAAATTCATACCTTTAGAGGCGGGATTTTCACAAATTCTTTCTTATTTCTCACCTAGGTAATAAAACAAATCTACTTTTATTCATTTAAAATATTTCAGCCAAATCAAACATAAACATTTTTAACTTTTCGTCCGTAACTTTCATCCCCGATTTTATTAAATTATGAAATACGTGTTTCAGCATTTATATACAGGGTGTTTAGGAGAGAAAAGTAATTTAAAATGTTCTTTTGTCTACATTTCGACGATACAGTCCTTCAAAGCTTAATTTTTTTTTTCGAAATTTCACCATATTTTAGTTCACTATTTTATGTTGGGTACCTGAAATCGATCGGACTTCCATTTTTCAAAATAATTTTGAAGCTATCTTATCTTTATCCATCGTATTCTTCATTTTATAATATAACGAGAAACTTAAAAGCTGTTTAGGGTGAATCTGACAAAAGTGGCTAATTTTTCACGTTTTTGATATATCTTTCTAAATCCATATTTTGTTTTTGTAAGTGAACGTCAAATTGACGTATTCTTAGTAGGGTAGTTTCGGCTTTGCACTCATATTAGTTCAAATTACAACAAAATCGATCTCAAGTCAGCGCTAGATTTTTAGTGAGTATGAGAAATAGAGCTTGTCCGTCCAGCACCACTAGAGGACATTTTTTGCTGATTGCATTCTACTGCTCCCATTGTATGTTAATTATGTCATAAATCGTTTTTGTCAGGTAAATTTGTTTTTGGAATACAGTCCGCTGAAAAGTCGTTAGACGTGTTTGCGTGTCTTTATCAAATTTATTACTCGTTAATGACGTCACAGCTTTGACAGGTTCACCGGAAGATTTAAATGTAGGCCACCTAAAACTATTCTCGCTTTCAATAAGGTCTCATTCCTGAAATTTTCACCAAATTCATTCGATAGTATGTGGAAATTCCTAAAAACAAAAAATTACGAAAAAACTTAATAAGCATAAAACATTTAACATCGCATATCAAATCTAATCTTTTCTTTGTCCATATTTTCTATTGACATGTTGTGCTCTGGCGCACTGTCACCGCCTCGAAAAATCATCAATTACACTAATAACTTTAAAAAATCGACAATTCTGTAAAGATAATCACCACGGCCTCGAAATAATCCGTTCCACTTGCACTTTATTGCTAATAATAACTAATAAATTCTGTAATAAATTCATTATTTAATTTCCTGTGTGTGTGTTAATTAAACGAAATCGTGCTCTCTCCGTATGACGTAATTTTTCTTTCATTCCGGTCCTACCCACGTGTTCAAATTCTTTTGTTTTTTTTCCAGGCGACCTTCTCGTTCGAACCGCCGGCGACAAGAACTGGTGGCCAAGAAGGGCCGTTGTCAAAAATGGCCAGCTGCAGATTTCCGGATGCCACGGAGAGGGTGCTCCGACAGCTCTGCGTCTTCCCTTGAGACATTTGAGTCTTCAGGCCGGAGCTTTGCCCAACAGTCTCTCCCTGTGTAGAGGGCAGAGCGTAGTTTTGACAATACAGGTAATAAATACTGAGTGATTGAGCAAGTCTATTTACCAAAAAGTGAGTTGACAACTTGTTGAACCTTTTTGTCATAGTCGCATTCGCACATAATAAACGCAACGGTTGCTCACTTCCCGAGTGGCTAATTTCATGTTCTCTTACTGTTTCATAGCTGGATGTGAAAAAGTAGGTCGTCCGTTTCCGTTTGCCTCTTTGTCGCCTGTCGGTGATTTTATTAAAGAGACAATAATTGTGGAATTTTACAAAACATTTTATGAATGTCGTGCAGAACCAAAATTTAATGAAGTTATTTCAAAATTGTGTTATGTAAAATTTGTTCGAAAAAAAATATAATTGCATCTCACTAATCTAATTCTATTTTAGAATTTATTCATAATAAATAATTAATCATTATTTACCGTTTTAGTCAATGATAAGATTTTTGAAATTGTTATTTATAGCAAATCAGGAAACATTAAGCAAGTTACGACTTCTTTTTTTCCTTTTGGCATAGAATAACCCATTTGTGCCTTCAGGATTGTTATGCAAGAAGTGTCGTCCTACGACATTTCCAACATTCTACCGTGCTTTGGTGGCTACAAGGCCACTGCGGCTTACAACACAACGCATACTTTCCTTGTTACTAGACCAAAATCGGGCAAATTGTCTGTGGGTGCGCGAAATAGTGGAAATATCGCAACTGCGAATTATTCGTAATACGTGGAACGGATTTTTTTTAAATTACCATATTAGTAAGGTGATTGTCATGTATGCTGAGTGTGTGGAAGTGCTACTTTATGGTTTTCGATGTTGTGTGGTTAAGGCTTTAAGCGACACCGCCGAACGAATAAATAAATGTGCAGGAGAACTCGTCGTATCACCTATCGAAATATTGCAACATAGTCGTTATGCGGTGTGTGGTGTAACGGATTCCGCTATTAGATTAATATAATTTATAATTAGAGGATGTAAATTACCACAAAAATTTATAACGTGGTAATTTTGTCAGTTTATTGGAGAGTTTCTTTTTTTGGAGCTTTATAAATGCGATAATGAGTCAGAATGTAAATAAAGATTTAAGACAAATACATAGCTATTTTTGAAACAATAAAACGCAACAAATTTTCAACTCTTATTTCTTAATAAATTAAATAGGGGATTAGATTTGTTTTGAAGAACCATAATATGTTAACGAATACGATCAATTTCAACGCTAGACGTTAGATAACAACTGTGTGGAAATGATAAATGAGGTTGTGTTACTTCTGATTTCCAAGGATTGATCAACACTTTTATCATTATTGTATTTCAGAGCAGCTGTTCGTAGTTGAATAATTTTTTCCAAATTCGTTGTGGAGTAAATAAATGTTCCATGCGAAAAAATAAGCCGAATATTTTAACCAGAGAGGAGGTGTTAAATTTCATTCATAAAGCCCCGAACAAAACATTTTTCATGGTCAAGGTTACTCTGTTTGGTGTATTTGGTGGATGTCGCCGGAGATAGTGAATATGTTAGATAGTTGAACATGTTGAGGACAGAAGTTCGGTCAGTTTTGAAAACAAGACTAACAAGAAACGAGTTTTTACAATTATTGATGAGGAAGAAATGAACTGTTTGAAGCTGATAAGAGTGCGACGTTACGTCTACAAGATAGGGGCTAGCATTGCCAGATTATAGTGACATGACTGGGGAAAAGTAGATACAGGGTGTCTCTTCAAGTTCTATTTTTTGCATTCTTTTTCAAATTTTATACTTCATTTGTTTTTGGAATGCGGTGCTAATTTGATTTTTTTTAAATAGCACAAGTAATCAAATGTTCCGTTTTTAAATAGTGACGAGATGGCAAATAAGTTGTCAAAATAAAAATACTGAAAATCAGAAAATCGTAGCTAGCCTTGACAATACTATCACCAAATTATAATCCTGGGTAGGACACTTTGTTCAAAAATTATACTAGTGCCCAGGCATTGTATAAATTATGGAACTAAGGGTACATAAACTGAAATAAAGGTGCCATATTCTCCGATTTAATGATTTAAATATTGAATACATTGTTATGATTACATTATTTTTATTTCAGTTGTTTTCTTTAATTGTTTAAGAACAAAGCAACATACAGACAACTTGTTGCATAGGACTTCAATTTGGCTTTTCCACTTTAATTTGTTATCCAACAATATGCCTAAAAATTTTATTTCGTTCACTTGTCTTATTGAGCCAGCATTGGATTTTATCAACATGCTATAATCTTTTTATTTATGTATATCAGTAAAATCAATAAATGTGGTTTTTTGGTTGTTTAATACTAAATTATTTTTACTGTAATATTCTTCTATTTCCATTTTTTTTTCTTGCTGTTTTAGTTATATTACTTTTTTTTGTCTGCATTTATTATTATCGATGTATCGTCAGCGTACATCACTGATTGGTTGCAAGAGAAGTCGGATACATACGTTAAATATAAAAGAGGTCCTAGTACGGACCCCTGTGGTACCCCTGTGGTCATGACTAACTTACTTGATCTCATTCCATTTATTTCAACATAATGTGTCCTGTTTTCGAGGTAACTTTTAAACCAATCCCATGTTACTCCTCTGATGCCATTTTGCCAAAGTTTTTCTAGTAGTTTTTGATGATTGACAAGATCAAATGCTTTGCTCAAGTCTATAAAGAGTCCTATGCTACTTTTGTTATTGTCGATATTTTCGTGTATTCTATTTAAAAAATCAAAAAAAGCCCTTGACACTGATTTTCCTTTAGTAAAGCCATGTTGTTGCGGATGATTACGTCCAGAAATCTCAAGAAACTTACTTAATCTTTCAGCAACAAGTTTTTCAATAATTTTTGAGATGCAGTTCAAGTTTGATATCGGTCTATAATTATTGGTTTGTGTTGGATCCCCACTTTTAAAACATGGTAATATTTTGGATATCTTTAATAAACTTGGGAATTTTCCACTTTTAAATGAATTATTTATTATAATTGTTAATATTTCTGCCAGTTGCATTGCACAATGCTTTAACAGTATTGAAGTTATCTCATCTGGACCATTAGCATTACTATTTTTTAATCCGTAGATTGTTTACAGATTTCTGTTTCTATATTCGTAATTTTGCTGATTTTGTTATATTGACTACATAATATGTTATTTGAGTTAAATTCTTTGGCAACGTTATTAAATGAGTAGTTTAATTTATTGGCACATACGTAATTATCATTTATTATATTACCATCAACGTCTATTTCTATTTCCTTTTTTATTTTTGCCTTTTTTCCAATAATTTCCCAAGCTGTTTTGTTCTTATTGGTGGAGATTTCCATTAAATAATTATTGTATTGTTTTTTGGCTTGCATGATATTAGTTTTGTGTATTTTTTTGTCTCTTATAGAGATTTCTGGCTGTTTCATCCCCGTCTTTAGATTGTTTGAAAAATTCCTTCAGAAATTTGGCGGAACTTTTTATTTCTGGCGTAATCATTTTTTTTGTGAAACCTGTTTTTATCTGTTTTGTGTTTTAATGGAAATGCAATATTAAAATAGTGTGTAATTATAATATAAAACATGTTATACTGAGCATCAGCGTCAATGCAGTGTCTAACGGTGTTCCAATTTTCCTTATCTAAGAGATTTTTGAAGTTCCATATATTTTGTATGTTATTAAGTTGTCTCATTTGCAGTGCTTTTTCGGTGGTTACATATTTCCTTAAGTTTAATTACTTGGGCCGCATGATCAGACCATCCTGTCCACGTTACATAGCTCTCATATGCATGTATATCAATCGGGATACAGATGTTATTAAGGCAGTTATTACCCCTTGTTGCTGCCTTTATGATGGGTTTTAGATAATAGGAGTGCAAGACGTCCATCATCTCAGATTTCTCAGATTGTTGGCCTAAAAAATTAATATTAAAATCGCCGCATATTATCCATTTATACTTTCTAAATTTTTTTGACAATATGTCCAACATTATGTTAAATTTCTCAAAAAACAAATTAATATTACCATTACTGCTACTTCTATATATGACAATAACAATTATATTAGTAATCAAATCAGTAAATTTACTTGCCACACATTCAAAGTGTAGGTCAAGAGAGAGACTTTTAATTTCTTCTACCGGTTGTCCCTTGTTGTCATTTTTGCATAATATTACAGTACCACCATGTATGTGGCTTGTTGTACTAGTTATAATACTCAATTAAATAATACCCACTACTGTTCACAGAGTCAAAAGCTGTTCCTTCAAACCAATGTTCAGTCACACATACTACAGTACAAGGGTGTTCTTCCAGAGTAACTTCTAGTTCGTTTATTTTATTTACAAGACACTGACAGTTTAAATGCATGATGCTTAAATATTAGGAACAGCGATTAGGAACAACGATTAGAACAATTACTTTTAAAAAGGAATAAAGAAAAATAAATGTATTAAGTAAAAAAGACAGCCAAAAAATAAGCCTCACCAATCGGTCTCGATCTCAATCGTAATGAATTTTTCATTCGTTATCGACCAAGGGGCGGAGCGTAACACCAAAATCGATATTTCTCTACAAAACTTTACTATCTTAAACATGTTTTAAGTTTCTTGTGAAAAGAAGACGACACTTGAAAAGTGAAAGCCCCGTCCACCCGCCCTGTTTCAATTGTGATGATTTTTTTTATTCGTCGTGATCCAAGGGGGCGGAGCCAGCAATTGGAACAATTACTTTTTAAAAGTAATGCATTACTCATTATTACAATTACAAATTACTTTTTTTAAGGAATTCATTGCAATTACTCATTACTTTTAAAAAGTAATGCATTACTTTAACAATAAAATTACTTCTTGCATTTGATGAAGACACAATTTTAAATATTTGTTGTATGGGCCCGAAGGGTCAAGAAAAAAGGTGTTAGAATGAAAAAGGCAGTGAGTGATTTATTTTACTAACGCATTAAATTTGTTACATATTCATATCAGTAAATAAAATAAAACAAATAAATTCTTCACGCAAGGGGAGTATATTTATAATTTA